AAAAAAAAAAAAAGTCTTACGAGACAGTTGAAATGTGTGAGACAACTGTGGCAACTTGAATACTAACTGTATATTGGTGATATTTAAGTTTGTGGTAAGATTTTGATGGTAACAAAATAGTGTTAGGTTGTTCTGGAGTTTTTTGGTGCGATGATGGTATTGTGGTTGTACTTTTAAGAGTTCTTATCTTTTAGAGATACATACTGAAAAATTTACAGATAAAATAACGTCTGTGATTTGCTTTATAACCTGGTAAGGGGGATATGGGAGCACAGACAAAATTATTCATGAGTTGATAACTGTTGAAGCTGAGTGAGGCACACAGGAAGAGTTCATGATACTTTATTTTTGTCTGTGTTTGAAATTTTCCATAATAAAAACTTTTGAAATATGTTTAAGGGAATAGCATGGTTTTCCATGTCCCTGTCATCCAACCCTTTGGAACTGGTAAGAAAGAGAACAGAAAAAGATGAAAGGAGAAAGAGAAGGGAGAGAGGGGGAATAAAAGAACCAAGGCAGCCAAATAAAAGTAGAAAAAGGTGGGTGGGCTCTCCTTCCTCCAGGATATTATTACCACACTACCCAGCTCATCACGGAAGCTCTTCCAATGATCCCAATGATTCCCTGAGTCAGCAGAACTTCATGGCAAGGTAATGTGATACCATTTCTTCCCCAACAGACAGGAATATGTGGTTTCTGGGTTATTTTTATGGTTATTTTATGGTTATGTGGTTATTTTTATCTTCCAAAAATAAAACCACAGTCTATGCAACATTTGTCCTTGTTATAACTCCTCTTCTTCCCTCTATTTCCTTTCCTTTCCCCTGTTCAAATTTCATGAAAGCAGAAGTTAGCTTTTCAAGCCTAAAGCACAATAAAAAGAAAATTCTGTACAGGCTAACAAAGTACCAAATAATAGTGGGCAGTCAGGTAAAGTGAGTATAATCAAATTGCTGTCTTTTTATAAAAGAATCATTAGAAAGCTCACCAAAGGTAAGCATCACAACTGAAACTACAGAGCATACTAAAACAAGATGGCAAATTAGACCAGAGAATTATTTACCCTTACTTCTAAGGCTTGTGAGGCTCAGTTAATGAAAAATTTCCAAAACTGAAATGCCAGCTGTTACATACCTGATCTCTAAAAGAGTAAAAATACACTGATAAAAATACTAAACATTCTCATACATCACTTGTAACAAATGAAAATTGTAAACTACATTCAAAAAGTATCATGGGGGCTTCTTAACCACAGTGGTTAAGAATCCGCCTGCCAATGCAGGGGACATGGATTTGAGCTCTGGTCCAGGAAGATCCCACATGCCACAGAGCAGCTAAGCCCCTGCACCACAACTACTGAACCTGAGCTCTAAAGCCTGCAGGCCACAGCTACTGAGCCCGTGCACCACAAGTACTGAAGCCTGCATGCCTAGAGCCCATGCTCCGCAGCAAGAGAAAACACCACAATGAGAAGCCCGCGCACCGCAACGAAGAGTAGCCCCCGCTCACCACAACTAGAGAAAGCCCACACACAGCAACGAGGACCCAATGTGGCAAAAAATAAATAAAATAAAATAAATAAATTTACTTTTAAAAAGTATGAATATAAGCCATGATCTAATTACTGTGGAAGATGTCCAGTGACCTTTTTTTAATGGGATTATAATTAGCACACAATATTATATTAGTTTCAGGTGTACAACACAGTGATCCAATATTTTTATACATTATGAAATGATTACCATAAAAGTCTAGTTACTATCTGTCAGCAAAGTTATTACAGTATTACTAACTATATTCCTTATACTGTATGTTACTTCCCCATGTCTTATTTGCTTTACAGCTGGAAGACTGTACCTCTTAATCCTCTTCACCTATTTTATCCATCCTCCTACCCACCTCCCCTCTGGCAACCACCAGTTTGTTCTCTGTACCTATGAGTCTATTTCTGTTTTGTTTTTGTTTGTCTATTTGTTTTGTTGTGTAGATTCCACACATAAGTTACATCATATAGTATTTGATTTTCCCTGTCTGATTCATTTCACTTATTTTTCTCTGTCTGACTTATTTCATAATACCCTCCAGGTCCATCCCTGTCGCTGCAAATGGCAAGATTTCATTCCTTTTTACGGCCAAGTAGTATTCCATTGCACATATATACCATACCTTCTTTATCCACTCATCTATCAAAGAACACTTAAGTTGCTTGCGTATCTTGGCTATTGTAAATAATGCTGCAATGAACACTGAGGGGTGTACATCTTTTCGAGTTAGTGTTTTCATTCTCTTCAGATAAATATCCATAAGTGGAATTGCTGGATCATATGGTAGTTCTATTTTTAATTTTTTGAGGAACCTCCATATAGTTTTCTATACTGCACCAATTTACATTTCCACCAACAGGGCACAAGGGCTCCCTTTCCTCCACATCCTTGACAATATTTGTTGTTTCTTGTCTTTTTGGTTAATAGCCAATCTAACAGGTGTGAGGTGATACCTCATTGTATACAATTTGATTTGCATTTCCCTGGCAATTAGTGGTATCAAGCATCTTTTCCTATGCCTGTTTTATGTCTTCTTTGGAAAAATGTTTATTCAGATCCTCCGCCCATATTTTAATCAGGCTGTTTGTTTTTTGATATTGAGTTGTAGGAGTTCTTTGGATATTAACCCCTTATCAAATATATCATTTGCAAATATCTTCTCCCATTCAATGGGCTGTCTTTTTGTTTTGTTGGTTGTTTCTTTTGCTGTGCAAAGGCTTAGTTTGATGTAGTCCCATTTGTTTATTTTTGCTTTTGTTGCCCTAGCAACATATCCAAAAAGATATTACTAAGACTGATGTCAAAGAGAGTAACTGCCTATATGTTCTAGGAGTTTTACCGTTTCAGGTTTTACATTCAAGTCTTTAATCCATTTTGAGTTTATTTTTGAATATGGTATAAGAAAAGTAATATAAATAAATCTGCTGCATTTCTATATACTAATAACAAACCATCAGAAAGAGAAATGAAGCAAACAATCCCATTTACAACTGGAATAAATTTAACCAATGAGATGAAAGACCTATACTCTGAAAACTATAAGACACTGAGGAAAGAAACTGAAGACAACACAAATAAATGGAAAGATATACCATGCTCATGGATTGGAAGAATCAATACCATTTAGATGTCCATACTACCCAAAGCAATCTAGAGATTCAATGTAATCCCTATCAAAATACCAATGGCATTTTTCACAGAACTAAAACAAATAATCCTAAAATTTGTATGGAACCACAAATGACCCCAAATAGCCAAAACAATTTTAAGAGAGAATAACAAAGCTGGAGGCATAACACTCTCTGATTTCAAACTATACTACAAACTTATGGTAATCAAAACTGTATGGCACTGGAATCAGTGGAACAGAATAGAGAGTCCCCAGATAAACCTATGCTCATACAGTCAATTAAGCTACAACAAAAGAGGCAAGAATATACAATGGGGGAAAAGACAGTCTCTTCAATAAATGGTGTTGGGAAAACTGGACAGCTACACGCCAAAGAATGGAACTGGGCCTTTTTCATATACCCTATCCCTAATGAAGTAAGCTGACAATGTACTTCCCTGTTCTTTGCTCTACCCATCATCATCATTATCTGGACCATCTATGATACGTAATGCTGCTCTTTTTTAAAACAGATGCAAATTCACTGACACTCCTCCCCTTGAATCTGAGTGGGATTTTGATTCCTTCAACTAATATAGTACAGCAGAAGGGATACTATGTAATCTCTGAGGCTAAGCCCGAAAAGGCCAAGTACCTCCTCCCTTGTTCTTTTGGACTTCTCATTCTTGGAACACTCCTTCTTGGAACCTAGCCACCATACTGAGAGAAGCTCCTGCCAAATGCAGAAGCCACATATAAGTGTTCTAGTGCAGAATTCCTGCTGAGTCCAGCCTTCAAATCATCCCAGCCCAGGAGACAGATATATGACTGAGAAAAACTCTCAGATGATTCCAGCCCTTAATTGTCCAAGTTGCTCCCAGGTAGCAAGTTTTCCAAGAGCCCAGATATTGTGGAATAGACATTCCCACTGTGCCCTGTCCAATTCTTAGCCTACAGAATCCACGAGTGTGATAAAATGGTTGTTGTTGTGTGCCTGTAAGTTTAAGGTAGTTTGTCACACAACAGTAGATAACTGGGACATATAATTAATATACTACACCATTCTTGACCACCTCATTCTCATTTCATTCATCTCTAATCCCTGTCAACTCTCTTCCTTCCCTTAAATGTTTCCTCATTCATTTCTTCACTCATCCATCTTTTCACCATGTTCAGTTCATGAACCAATCTGTTCACAGGAGTAGTTTCA